GGTAACATGTCTGCTCTACACAGTAAATGCCAAATGAACAACGATAGAATTACTGGGAATGTGGGGCATAGGGGCTGAGTAAGGATTTTTGCAAAAATACGAGGCAAGGGAAAAAAATAAAAAATTATAAATGATCTCAGTAAGATCCAAGGGTGGTTGATACTGGAGAAGTAAAAGTGCTGTAAAAGTAAAAGTGGGGGCTCCGGGGAGGAGAATAGTGAAAGTGGTATATAAGGGCTTTAGTTCCTCAGGGTGGGGAAGGAGCATCAGAGAAATGGGAACTCTTGCCAGGGTAAACTATTTGCATCTTGTTTTTATATGATAGAGATATATACTTTTGATCATGAGTGTTGGGATAGAAGCAGGAACAACTAGTGAAACGGAAAAGAATAGTAGACTTTCCAAATAAACAAAGGGAAGAAAGAAAAAGATAGTAACATGATCACACTTGCAAAATGAGGAAGTAAAAAGCAAAAGCAGTAATAACCAATAAATAGTGAAAAGTAAAGTAAGGTGGAAGAAGTAAAACAAGCATATTGATGGTTACACTAAACAGGAAGAGGTTATATTACTTATTAAATTACAGAAGCACTAAGATTAGGTTAAATAGAAAACATTGCTAAATGCTATTCTTAAGAAACACAGTTAAAAGAAAATGATAAAGGTTGAAACAAAGGGATAAGAAAACACTAGGAAGAAAGTAGGTATGGCAAGGCCAGATAAGTTGGAATGAGGTTAAAAGCATGAACAAGGATAAAATAGGTAGTGTGTAATAGTAAAAGATAACATTTATGAAAAATCAATGACAGTCATTGTCAATAGGCACCAAACAATGTAGCTAGCTGCTACATATACGAGACAAATGTTATAGAAATGCAAAGAGAGTTTCATGAAACTATACATTTATAGTTGACTTTTTTTTTTGGTAGGCTCCATGCTGGGCTCGGTGTGGCGCTTGAACTCATGATGCTGAGATCAAGACCTGAGCTGAGATCAAGAGACACTTAACCAGCTGAGTCATCCAGGTGCCCCATAGTTGAATTTTAATAAGCCCTTTTCAGAATTAAGATCCGATAGACAAAAAATAAATAAGCACATAGAAGAACTGAATGATGCAATTAAGAAATCAATTTAATATGTATTTCCTTCAAGTCAAAAATTTGCATTTGCGTTTCCAAAATCAACCGAGTACTGGGCTACAAAGAAGAATTTATATAATTTTAAAATAGAGGTTTCACAGGCCATCTTCTCTGCTCATAATAAAGCTAGATATAGAAAGTTAAAAAATATAAGAAGTCCCAAGTGCTAGAAATTAAGAAATCATTCTTAAATAATTTTTGGATCAAAGAGAAATCAAAACTAACATTACAAACTATCTAAAACTGATCAAAGCAGAATACTTTATTCCCAAACCTATGGTACACAGCTATAGCTCCACTCAGAGGAAAATTAGTAGCCTTAAAATGCCTTTGTTGTTAAAGGAGAAAGATCTAAAATGAAGAAACTTTACATCAATTTTAAAACATTAGGAAAAAGGAACATTTATATTTGAGAAAACATGAAAAGGAAACTAGAAAAAGAAATCAATAAAATAGAAAACACACCAAAACTGCAGATAGGGCAAATAAATCTCCAATTGCTTCTTTGAAAAAGCCAATAAAATGGATGAACCCATCACAAACTTGATTAAGGAAAAGAAAGCAAAAGTCCATAAGATTGGGAAGAGAAAGGAGACGTAGCCATAGACAGAAGAGAGATTGAAATCATTGTATGAGAACATTATGAGTAACAGTAGGGCAACAATGTTTTAAATCTAAAGAAAATGGATTATTCCCTAGCAAACAAACTCTGAAGTTTGACCAAGAAGAAGTAGAAAACTTGACTATGTCAGTTATCACAGAAGACATTGACAGATGAGTTGAGATTGATGATTTAAAAATACGGCAGGGCAACATCACTTCATGGCTGACAGCAGAATTCATCCATGGGGGAAAGCAGATGGAAATGGGGGGGATGATGAGGTCAGAGGGAGGAGATGAGAAGATCTAGGGAGGGGACAGTGGAGAGAGGGAGAGGATGGTGTGATAGGGACAATTTCAGACAGCACCTCCTCTACCACACCCTGCTGCCAACATATTCCTACTCTCTTTAATGTCTATGTTCAGCCATATTTATGTTCAACTACCATTTGTACAACCAAGAGCTGCTACCCGGAATCTGGGGGTGATCACAGCAAGACAGCTGGGATGTGGACCCAAAAGCTCTTCTCTCTTCTTTCTTGGTGGCTCACTCCTCTGCAGCCTCATGTTGGTGGTGTCTCTGTGGTTAAGTTTCCTGCCCCTACTCATCCATCCTACTCATCAATGGGATGGGAAGGTGCTGGTGAAGGCAGGACAGGGTCACTCCAGGGAGCTCTCCAAACCTCCTACCACTATTTTGTCTACTTCAGAGGACATCTGGGCTTCTGTCCATGGCCCATGGGCAGGGTGACCTGCACGGCGCTGACTTGTCTTAGAGGGGTGGGGATTTTCATTTCTGCCCCACCCTTGTCCATGCCCACAAGAGAGACGTGGCATCTGCCTGCCAGACTGGCTTAATAAGATTTGTTCTACTCCAGAAGGAGCTTGTTTGACCACATTTGGGAAATACCATCGATTTTCTGCCTCTTAGCCCCAAAAGATGTTTTTTAAAAACATTTCATCACTCCTGGACATCTCTTGGCAAGCGAATTCAGTGATTAACAATACTTCATCCAGGCAGTTCTTTCTTATTTCAAATTAGTAGATGTTTTCCTGTTTCTACATAAATATCTGGCCATCTTGATCATAAAGTATTATAGAATTTCTAAGGCCCTGTGGTTTTTCCAGACTAACTGGACATGCTTTTTCTTTTTTCTGAATCACTTAGCTTTTATCCATTTTTCCTCCCATGAATTTGGCAGCTGGCGATGCAGTTAACATTTAATTTCTACAGGGGTGGAAGTGGGAACTTGGGAGAAAAAAAGCAACCCAGACACCTGTGACCAAAGTGGGACCTTGTTAATGACAGAGACGTGGGGTGGGAAGGGAAGGGAGAAGAGAGAATCTTGTCCAAGTGAAACTGAAAGGATTTTTTATATCCAAATGGTTTTCCTGTTCTGGAAATCCAATATAAAAGCATGGTTAAAACCCAGCTCCTGGGCGCCTGGGCGGCTCAGTCAGTTAAACGTCTGCCTTCAGCTCAGGTCATGATCCCAGGGTCCTGGGGAGCCTGCTTCTCCCTGACCCCACCCCCCACTCATGCTCTCTCTCTCTCTCAAATAAACAAATAAAATCTTAAAAAAAAACCCCAAACCCCAGTTCCTAACAGATCCAGTTCTTGGGGTGGAGAGTCTCACAGGCTTAAAGTAAAGGAAAGTAGATTTCTGGGCACAGTTTGTCCGTAATGAATGAATGGGGCATCTGGTTCTGTTATCTCTTGTTAGAATATTTGGGGGGTCTCCCCTCCTTTTTGGGTAATTGAGCCCTGTCTGGAAGCCAGGCAGGGAACTGACACCCCCATCCTCCGCAGACCACCTGACCTTCACACTCCCCTCCCCGCCTGGGATTCTAGGAGCCTCCCTGCTCTTCCTGCTGGCAACGCCTGCACCAAAGGTCACTTTTTCCTTCCTCTTACGGTGGTGTGCCTGCTGGCAGTGGTGGAAGCAGAGTGAGGGGACAGAGGAGGGGTGGTTCCCAGACCTTGCTGGGGAAGGAGGGCCTGGATGAAAATGGCAGCCTCTGGTGCACTGGGTCAAGGAGACTCAGAGTGGATTTTCCCGATTCCGGTCATACTAATCTCACTTTCCTATAAAGCTTCTACTCTCACCCAGCATAGAAATGGCTATGTGGGTGTCTGTGGCCAAGAACTTGGCGGCGTCCTTTTGGCCTGCCCTCTGCCCACCAGCTCCGAACCGTTATTATGGCAAGCACCCGTGTCAGGCACTGGCCGACCTGGGTTGAATCCAGTTTCCTTGTTTAATGAAATCTTGGAACACAACCATGCTCATCCATGTCTATGCTGTCTAAGGCTGTTTCGTGCTACAATGACACAGGTGAGTCTTCGCTAAAGACACCATAAGGTCTCCAGAACCAAAAACATTTACTATTTGACCCTTTCCAGAAAAAGTTTGCTGAGCCCTGATATACATATAAATGGAGACTGAATGTAAGGTAATGACTGTAATCGGGAAGTCAAATTATGAACTTCATGGATAATTGTTTGTCTTTCTACTCAGGCTAACTATTTAAGTATCACAGACCTCATAAAGCTTCTAACACCCACAGGCAAATAGGAGAATGAGATAAGTTTCTTACCTTTGTTTTTTTAATAATAAAAGTCATATATGGGATTCTAATTTTTATGAATTGCTTCCTGCTATGAGAGAGCATCTTGCCCTTACTCTGGCCACTGAAGGTTCGAGACTTCCTATTTAGACACTCCCAGCGCTCTAATTGTCCCTGTTTTGACTTTAAAACTCTGTCAGTGTGAAATTCCTCTCTTTTATGTAATGCTGGGTGTGCTCATCAGCCACTAACTCAATGCACCTTCAATTCTTTGCGTGTATCCCCTGAATTTCCACCCACTCCGGGTCTGCCTGGGAACCACTCAGCGAGTTCAATTTTACAGCATCTATTATTCAGCTAAACATGCCATGAAGACCATCTTGTAATCATCTTCCTAAAAGACTAAAGAGAAATGTTTTTGTTTTAAGACAATGACATGGAAAGCACATGTCTTACTTCTAACTGCAAGCTCATACCAACTTCCTCTAAAGTCATATATGGATAGTTATGGCTATTTGGGCAGAGAGAGAAAAATCAGCACCAGGGAAAGGGAGGTACAGGTGTGTTTGGTTCTAACAGGTGCCAGCAGAGGCACAGAAGGGGAGTGCTGCAGCCGATTGACCCAGAGCCGAGACCACAGGGAGCAGACACCAGGTCCAGGCAAAGAGCATGTCTGCCTAGGAGTGGGCTAGTCACCGCTGGCGGACTTCTCTTCTTCACTGCTCTTCACTTTTAGGTAGTAGATGCGGTTGGCCTCTGGGTAGGTGACTTTGCTGAGCGGGAGCTTATAGATGGCAGGGTTGTTGGTTGTCAGGAGCAGGAAGATGAGGGTGGAAAGGCAGAAGGCCCAGGTGCCTGGTGGCACACCAACCTGGAAGAAGAAACACTGGGGTCTGAAAATGGTCCTAGACTGCAGAGGCCCTGGGGGAGAAGGATGTGGTAGGAGTTGAGGATGGGGCTCCTTCTCTAGTGACAACATTGGATTTTGGATTCATAACATCAGAGGAGTTGGTCTAGGAATTTGAGATGTTGGTACTTTTGGATACAATCCGAATCTTTTAATGATGGAGCTGAAATTCAGCCTTGGGATGATTTCCCACATCCGGCCACACACCAATACCTCCATCTGTCCATCTAGGTTCCCCACTGCTCGTTGTATCAGTCTTTTGCGCACACACACAGCCACCCCCAACATACCTCAGAGTCACATGCATGCAACTGCCGGTCCTTCTCTGGACAAACCCTGGATAAACGCTGACAAAGACGTTGTGTGGGTACTAGCTATCATAATGCACTCAGGATTCTTCCACAAACTGCAAATGTCCTAAAGCCCTGGCTGGGGGAGGGGCACGTTCAGGAGAATCCAAACTTACCACCGACATTATGTTGGAGAGGGCCGCTCCCATGTATGCAGAGAACAGGGCTGTGGAAAAACAAGGCCCATGGAGTCAGCTTCCCAGGGTCTGCCCCCACCCTCTCCAAGGGCAGGGGGCCCATCCTGTCTCCAGCAGCTTCAGTGTCTGCAGCACACCCTGACATCTGGCATATTTGCTTGACAATTATGGTAGTTATCTTTACAGGTAGGAGTGGCCAGTCTCCCACCAGACTGTGTGTTCCCAGGGCAGAGATGAAAGCCTTCTATCCCTTCCCCACCTCCATGCACAGAGTCAGGGGTCAGTAAGCATCTTTTGCTCGTCATACTGACCTTGGGGATGGTCTGGCACAGGCTGGGTGGCTGGATTATTATCTGTCCAGGGGTTGAGGGGTCAGATTACATGAGCCCCCAACAAGTCCCCTCCCGTCCAAGATTCTGAGCAGCTATGATAGATCTTGCTGGACCTGCACCAAGTCTCACAAGGGCTGGACCTTATTGGTCCATGAGCTTGTCTTTAGGAGCCCGGCATCTGAGTTCACCGTAGGACGTGGCCCTCAGGATAGTTAGGGTAGCTCATCCACACCCCTGTGCCTCTGGACAGGCTCCTTCTGCCCCTTCACTTTTGCTCTTTCTGTTCCTCTGTCCAGAACACCTTCTCTGTGCCCCCCCGCCCCCCAACCAGTTCCCGCCCTGGCAATGTGGAGATAAACCCCATCTTCCTCCTGAAGCCTTCCCAGATGGTTCTAGCTCCAAGAATCTGCCACTTCTCTGAAGGCCAAATGCAGTTACAGCCTTAGCCTCAAAATATCTGGCACTTTTGACTTGACAAATATTTATCGAGCCTACTGTCTCCCTGCTGGCTGCTGAGGGGAATATAAAGGACATGGAAGACATTTACAGGCGCCACACATGAGTGGGGAGAAAAACAAAAGTTCTCCTGGATGGTATTCTGTCCTTTACTTGTCTTTAGTTTTGCGTGTTAAGGTCCTGCTGTTTCCAGAGAATATAAGCAACTTCAGGGCAGGAAGACTGGTGGAAAGATGGGGCTGGGGTTTGAATCTTGCTTCTGCCCTTAATAGCTGCATTTGACACCAAGTTCATGAACCCTTCTGGGCTTCTTTCCCTCTCCCATAAAATGGGCTGACAATCTATGCCTGGATTGAGCTCCCATGTCGTGCTGGGTGCAGCCGTAATAAGGCCTGCAAGCCCATCTCCCTTGGGACAGCACGCTGTTTACTCCATGGGAATTAAGCTCCCATGGTCCGACTTTCTGAGACCTCAGTGCTGCCAGGTACATCATCTCCCTGGGTCTTTCCAGCAATCTTTTCAGACATCACAGCCTTAACAATTGTGTGATTACTTCTCTTCCACTCGATGTGGCTTCATGAGGATGTGGTCCCCACCGCATCTTCCGTGTCTAGCCTAGGGCCTGGCACCTAGTGGTGCTCTGTAATGGGTTGTGGGATGAAAAGTTATTACACCTGGACACTGCCACTAGCACGTGAGGAAATGCATGTGTTATCTCCTTGTAAACTTCCAACACTGTTGTAATAGCAGTAAGCGTGGTTGTGACTCCATTTGACAGAAGAGGAACCTCAAGTCTCCCGGTGTTGGGACCCAAGCCACAGGTCCCTCTATCACTGTTGCTGAGTTCTGATTGGTGGGCCCCATGGGTTTCACATAACCAAGTAGGGAGGGAAGGAAGGAAGAGCAGAGTGACATGGCTTTCCCCAAATACCTACCACAGACGAGGGCCAGCAGGTGGGTCTGCCAGGTGAGGGCGTAGAACATGCCCCCAATGGCGATACAGGAGAGGACACAGTTGTAGCTCCAGAGGCCCATGTAGATCGTCTCAAAGGGCGTGGCCACCGTCAGGGCTGTGGGATGAGGTGTGTTGTTTCTGGCCAGTCCCGGGTCCCAGCACAAAGGCCACCCCGTGGCTGGTGCCAGGTCTCAGGGTGGCCTCACTCCTGCCCTCCCTGCCCCCCCCATCCTCCTCCCTCCTCCCATGAAAGGGGCCTTTGACAAATGGCATCTGGTCTTTGGGAACCAGCAACAAGAAGAGAACAGTGATTTCCAAACTGTGTTTTGGAGATTTCACACAGAGGTATGACTACTTCCAAGGTGAAGGGAGGTCAAGGTGTTGGGATTCTAGGCTTTCCCCACTCCTTTGGCCACAGCAACTGCATTTTTAGTAAGAAAGTTTTCAACTGAGAAAGGTCTGCTTCAAACGGCTGAGGAAAAGTATGTATGTCCACATATAGGAACACGGAGGTAGAGAAATAATACAGTGAAAGGGTAGGACGCGAACAGGTGAATCAGGTAAAGAATGTATGGGGTGCTTTGTGTACCATTTTTATTTTTGTAATTTTTTGGTAAGTTCAAAGTTATTTTCAAAGAATTTTTTTAAGTTCTGTTTCCAAGATGTTTTTGACAAATACTGGAATGAGCCGACAGGATCTTAGTCCCATATGTCCAACTCCAATTTCTGGCTCTGCTGTCCACATATCCATACACACGTGCGTGGACACACATAAACATACATGTAGAAATATTAAATCACATTTGTCAAATAGCAACACTAATTTGGCGAAATTTTTTTCTTTTAGTTTCCTTTACGTTTCGAAGTGCTGGGTCATTTATAGCTCTCGGCGTGCTACTGCTCTCCTCCTATAATGTTCCCCTCCCCTCCTCCCAGCCCTCAGCTCCCAGGGCCTCAGTTAGCAGGCTGATCAGGTCTTCAGTCCCTTGCGTCTCCCCACGTATCCTGCTGAGGCAGTCTGCTCCCTTTGGAGACTCAAGAAAGGGAAAAATACATCCCTACTCCTGGCAGTGTTCGAAAACACTGGTGAAGAGCACAGATCTAGAACATCTGCCACGTGCAGGGGTGAAATGACCTCAGGAGGATTATGCCCAAGCCCTCCTTGCAGAGATGGGACTGTGTCCTACCCGCCAGCATCCCCACGATGGAGCCAATGGCGGCATGCAGGCAGATGAGTGGCGAGGAGATGAAAAGAGCCACCAGGAACACGCCGCCTGTCCAGGGATTGTCGCAGCCGTACACCTGGCCGACCCCGACGGGGATGGCTTGTAGCAGCTGCAAAGTCAACAGAATCCGGGTCACTGGAGCGTGGGCACATAACACAAAGACCAGGCCTTAGGGTTGGGACTGAGCCATTCCTGGTGGGAGTAATAGGCTGGAACGGGGTGGGGTGGGGTGGGGGGGGGACGGCTGTACCCTCCAGTGTGTAAGAGACCTTGGGAGGAAGGACGCCAGCTGGAACAAATCGCTCTTCACTCCACCACCTAGCAGGCATCTGGTATCCCTCATGCAAAGCCGGGCAGGGCCCCCCAACACAGATGCTTCTGAGGGACACATGGCTTCTGCTCTGAGAGGAGAAACTCTGCGGGGACCAGAGGGCACCTCCTCTCTAGACTGCCATTGGGGGTTTCGGGGCACTAAGGTATTTCCACTAGACCTTCCGAAATCCTACAACTATTCCAGGAATACTGGAAATATTTTAGGCCATTCTGACGATTGACTTAATCTAAGGTCACCCAACTTATTGGTGGCCAAGGCCAGGCTAAACCCTCCGAACTTGACCCCTAGTCCACAGGTGGTTGCTGTAGATTCAGAGCTACCTAGGGTGTTGTGGGGCTCTGGGAAGGAGGTGGGACTTCCCCTGCTCGAGGAGCCTTTAGCATTGCAGAAAGGTAATGTATGCAACCTTGGAAAACAGAACAAAGCCAACATCCCTGAGCCCTGAGCGTCATTTGGTGGTGTTGTAATTGGAGATGGTTAGTTTGGCAGCCAGATGGCCCTTTTCTGCCCAAGCTGAACCATCACCATCTGACAGGGGAGGGGAAGAAGGAGAGGAGGGAGATTGGCAGGCTAGGGAGAGCACTGGTCTGGGAGCTGCGGGCTCCAGCCTTCAGGGGTCTCTGCATGAGCTCATGGCTTGATGGCGAGTATGTCACTTCCTCACGCTGGGCTCTGGTGTCACCTCTGTAACAGGAGGAGGCGGCCTTAGCAGATAATCTTCCAGCTTTAAAATTCTGCGGTCTTCACTCCATTACTAGGTGATGTGACCTCTTTGAGGGCCGGGCTCCTTTATGGCTGGGTACATACTAGGTGCTTCATATATATGTATTGATTCGCTCAGCGGTTTCCAAACTTGGCTGTAATTGGAATCACCTGGAGATCTTTAAAAGACTTGCTGCCTGGCTCTACCCCAACATCATTATTTAACCGGTATGGGCCTGACCAGGGCCTCAGGAGATTATAATGTGCAACCGAGTTTGGGGACCACTGGGTTAGCTACACATGACCTACTGTAGATGTTGGGAGTTCATTGCACGTCTCCCTTTGGGTGAATTTTTGGACTTTCTAACAAACTGATTTAATTCTGGAGTCAGTCTGATTTCTTTAGAGAATAGTGTTTTGAGCTTTTAGGCTTTACCCATCCTTGTCTCTAGATGGGTGGCCTTTCAATCACCAAGCCCCATTGGGCCAGAGCCTATAGCCCTATGCCAGGAATGGCAGGGTGGGGTGCATCTTATTTAAAGGAACCCCAAGAGAAGAATGAAGGGGAGTAAATTGGAGGTGGAGACGAACCATGAGAGACGATGGACTCTGAAAAACAAACTGAGGGTTCTAGAGGGGAGGGGGCTGGGGGGATGGGTTAGCCTGGCGATGGGTATTGAGGAGGGCACGTTCTGCGTGGAGCACTGGGTGTTATGCACAAACAATGAATCATGGAACACTGCATCAAGAACTAATGATGTAATGTATGGTGATTAACATAGCAATAAAAAATAAAAAAAATAAAGGAACCCCAAGAAAGCTTTGTGCCAGTTCAGGGAACTCAGCTTCTGTGTGGGGAATGGGTTAGAAGTCTACTCAGTAAATAGTCTACGACCTCCCGAAGTCTGAGGAATGCAGGCTGCTGAGGGGCTTCCAACTTCCCCCTTGCCCTCTGGGAACACAGGTTTGAAGCGCAAGCAGTCAAGAATGAGAGGAATGAGGGACAAGTAGCCTCGGAACAGAGCCTGGGTTCAGAAAGCTGCTTCCTCTGCCGGGATCCATATTTTAGCTTGGTGAACTGTGGCCCCGGGGCTGCCTCCCTCCCCCCCACCTGCTTTCCAGCACTCGGGGGTGAAGGTGTGAAGGGCAGTCAGGTGTGCATGGAAATTTACTGAGCACCGGCCTCCTTCCTACTGCCACCTCCGGACTCTTCACCAATAACGACGATAGTCCTGATGGACAAAAAGGAAGTCACTCCCAACATTCTTTTAAAGAGAAGGAGGGAAGGGTGTTGGGATGTGGATGGTGTGGAAGAGAAGGAGCCGGGGGTCACAGTAGTGGTGTGATGGGGAGCTTGGACGGTGAGCTTGGGCTCACGTGGATTTGCGTCCTGCCACTTTCTGCTTATGGTGAAGAGGAACAAGAGACAGCTCTTGCCTGTGGCTGCCTCCCCTCAGCGCTCCCCTTGGTGCTGGACTGCGGAGCCTCACAGTGTGGGGTGGGTGAGGGGGCTCTGGGGGCCCTTCCCTCTGGCAGCTCCACAGGCCCCAGTGGTTGGCACTTGGATCCCGCTGCACGGGCAGGGCACCGGGGGCAGCAGGTCTGTGCCCCTAGGGCAATGTGCTTTACTGCCTATGAGGCTCCCTGACGATCCTATCAGAGGTAGGGTTTTGCCCCTGCTCCCACCCCTGCTGTTTTCCACTGGAGAGGGTGGGCTTTCCCTTCAAGGCAGGGCTCTGGGTTTTCCATTCTCTCTAATTTCCACCCTAACCCTGACTCCAATCGTACTCCTGCCCCGGGCCCAGACAAGACTTTACAAAGACAAAACCTTTACAAAGGGTCTGTGTGGTTGGCAGCAGCGTCTGCGCTAGGGGCTCGGGAGCCTTTCCTTCTCCGAGAGGTTTCGGGTCAGAGGGTGGCCGGCCCTGGAGGAGCCGCGCGGCCTGCCCGGCCCTGGAGCCATGGTCCTGGAGCTGAGTCCCCCGCAGCAGGGCTTGGCCGCGTGGTGAGGGCTCAGAAATCAGATTGTCTAAACAGTATCGAGGACATGGGTTATGTTTGCAAGCATTCAAAAGACGATCATGGAAACAATATTCTGAATGATTCCAAAAAGCTGAGCTAGAAGCAATGGGTGAAAGATGGAGGGGGATGGATTTCTGAGGAAGGTAAAGAACACTCCAGCACTTAGTAAAGGTACCCAGTGAGGGGCGCACTGCACTGAGAAGCAGAGGGTTTCGCCTCACTGTGGTTGTTCCGGCCGAGGGTGCCTGTCCTGCCAGGGACGAAGTGGGTGGCAGCTCACAGCCTGGGCTCTGCAGCAAGCGCTTCATGCTCAGGCACTAGTTGCAGTTTGACCTTGGGCAACTAACCTGCTCTGTGCCTCAGTCTGCTCATCTGGGAGCGGGGATAATGATAGTACTTACAGTATTGGGCTATTATGAGGGTTGATTAAATGAGTTCCGAAGTCCAGGGCTTGGAACAGTGTCTGGTACGTAATAAGCTTGCCCTATGAGGGGCTCTTAGCTTTCTCTATTGTTCATTAACAAGGCCAAATGTTACAATTCTATATATTTAATCTTATGTTAAATTTCTATTATATCTCTTCATCCCCGGTGTCTAGACGTCAGTAGAATAAATGAATATGTACATTTATGATAGTTGGATGTAAAGCAGAGTTTCTCAACTTCAGTATTATTGGGGCTGCATAATTCTTCGTTATGGGGAGGGCTGTCCTGTGCATAACAGGATGTTATGCAGCATCCCTGGCTTCTAGCTGCTCAATACCAGTGGCACCCCTCCTCCCCAGTTTAGACAACTTAAAAAGTATCTGCGGATATTTGCCCTGCTCACGAGGACAAAATCACCCCTGCTTGAGAGCCACCGAGATGGAAAGTACATGAAAATCCATCCCCATCTTCTACTGCTAATATCTTTAAAATCCTAACTTTAAACATTCACTTTAGTATCTCGCCCGTCCCCCCAGCCGTCCACCTTACTTAGTTTTTCTCCCCGAACCCCACCGCCGCGTAGCATCAACTTGGCCCTCATCTGTGCTCTTGTTTACTGTCTGTTTCCCTGGGTTGGGGGAGTGTACCCTGCAAAACGGCAGGGGGGTTGTTGTCTTCTTACTCCCCGTGTGTTCCTCGTGTCTAATAAAGTGCCCGGCACGTATCAGGTCTTCGATAAGGGTTCGGTGAAAGAGCATACAGAGCTGGCAGCATCCCTTCCCTGTCCTGTCCTCACCCACGGCCATCACCTGGTGGAGCTGCGTCTGGAGAAGCAGAGAGCCTGGGTAATCCACAGGCTGGTTACGGAGAAGGTGTGTGACAGACGCAGGGGTCCCAACTCCTCTGCCGCTGGGGAACTTACCAAGGGCATCTCCATCTCTGTCCAGGTGATGTTGGGCACCGAAGACATGGGCTCCACCAGTGTCGTGGGGAAGAAGAGGTTGTAGTGGCCGGTGGCCGCCAGGTACAGGGTCACGGCCATGTTGAAGGGCAGCGTGAAGACCGGGAGGTCCCACCTGCTGAAGATGGAATTCAAGGCACTGGAAAGAAGTGGGCTGAAGATGAGAGAGACAAAAGGTTAATCTGTGCGCATCCTTAGGCCTACACCGTCTCATCGGCTCTGGCCACAGTGCCACCCACTGTCCCCTCTCCTTGGCACGGCCATTCCTGACTCCTCTGGGACTCTAGTGGTCTGATTTATCTGGGACTGGGAAGAAAGTGTTCAATTTAAGGTGAATCTTTGAGAAACAGATTTTTAAAGTATTATAATTTGTTTGAAATAGAAACCTTTATAAATTAAATATTTCCTTGTTTCTTAAACCAAGAAAATGAAACCAAATGTCATCCTTAGAAAATATCATGTACTGCCTTTGGATTATCGAGATGTACAACAGCTCCTATCCTGGGCTGTGATAACATTTTAGAAGTCTGGCCTTGTGGGAGGCAGCTGATGAGAAATGGCGAGATGGGAAACACTTCATTTTCCCAACCATGAGCTCCACACACTCCAACGGCCCTGCTCCCACATCCTGTTCCTCTCTGCCTCTGGCACATAATGAAAGTGTCCCTCCTTCTTTATTGGGCCAATTCTTTCCCTTGTATCTCGGGATCCATTCTGCCTCCAAGACTTCACTCCTGCAATTCTCTCCCCTCTCTCCTGCAGCTTCAGTCTCTCCTTTTTCTCTAGATCATTCTCATAAGTCTACAACATGCTTTAGTATCTTCTACCTGTAAACATTCTCCTCCTCTAACCCGATGTTCCCTCCGGCTAGTTCGCCCCATTTCTCCGCTCCCCTTCATAGCAATTACTCCTCAAAAGATTGCTATGTCTCATCTTTCTACCCCCTTTCTTTCCTGGACCCACTCCAGTCACGTGTGCATTCTCCCCATGCCACAGAAGTGGCTCTGGTCCAGTTCACCAATGACATCTATCCTGCTAAATCCACGGCCATTCTCTGCTCCCTTCATGTGACACCTGGACACTCCAACGGGGTTGAAACACCTTCTGTCTGGGCTACTACGACACTGCCCTTTCTTAGCTTGCTTCCTGCTTCTCCAGCAGCTCCTCATGACCTCTTCTTTGTGGTTATTCCCCTCCTCTACCAGGCATCCAAATATTGGACGATCCTATGGCTCTGCCTTGGGTCTTTCTTTCTTAATTTTTTTTCTGGGTGGTATCCTTTAGTCCCATGGATAAATTATCTTCTGGATGCTTCTGCCCTCCAATCTTGACCGTATCACAAAGTTCTGGATTTGTACATCTAGTTACCTCATCAACATCTCTCCTTGGAAGTCTACAGCTTAATATGTCCAACAGAACTCTTGATTTGTGCCCTGTCTCCCACCACCAACCTGTTTTCCTCTTAGTTTTGTCCATCAACCCAGGTGCTCAGCCAAACTGTAGGAGTATACTGAATCTTCTTTCCTTTCTTACCCCCTGTACTCCATAGCCTTCCAGCGAGTCTTGTTGCCTACACCTTCCTTAAAATACACTCCAAGCCCAACCATTTCTCACCACCTTCCTGTATATCACCCTTGTCCAGACCATTCTCATCTCTCTGTGGGTTCCTGACGATGCTTCCAGCATCCACTCTTGTTCCAGTTAATATCCATTCTCCACACGGCAGGAGTGATTTGTTTAAATTTAAACTCTATCCTATCACATCTCTGCTTAAAACCCTTTAACTGCTTCCCATCACAGTTGTAATGAAAATCAAAAAGCTTACTGGATCCTCAAAGTGAACGGGGTCTAGCTCTCACTTCCTTCTGCCCACTCCTTCCTGGTTCACTGGGCATAACCGCCCGCCATGGTCTTGCTTCCTGAACACAGGCACTCCTCCATTTGGGGTCTGCACCAGATCTTCAGAGGGCAGCTGCCTTTTATCCTTTAGGGCAAAGCACCCTCATTCCCTCTACATAGTGGCCCTCCCTGACCACTCGCGTCTGGAATCACTCTCTGTCCCACTCACCCCTGTTTGGCTTTCCTCACAGCACTAATCAAATCTTGACAAGATCTTTTTAATTAACTAGTTGGGGACATTGTTTCTATCTTTGTCAAGAAGAACATAGGCTCCAAGAGGATGGAGACCGTCTGTTGTTCACAAGTATCCCCAGCCTCTAGAATAGTCCCTGCACGTAGCAGGCACTCAGCAAATATTTGTTGGATAGATCTGGAAAATGGCACTACTAATACCTACCTTATGGGTTGGATTTTGGGTTCTACATGAATAGGTTAGTGAACACACTGGAACAGCAGCACAGAGTTGGGTGCTCCAAGGTTTTTTGTCTGTTAAAGTGGGGAGTGGGCACTGTAGACAAAGGGCCGCCCAGTGCAGAGTGGCTGCGGAGCTTGCTGAGGGACTTCATCTGTGTTGTTATAAGCAAATGTGTGCAAATGAAGACGAGGTCTGCTACTCCTGACATGGGGGCAGGCGGGGACATTGAGGAAACCCCACAGAAATGACTGCTATAGCTTTTTGTCCCAATGGTTTCAGAAAGACAGAAACCCTAAGAAGAAACATAAATTGCCCAGAATGCTTAATGTAGTAATTTATTTACAAGCACTACTAAAAAGTAATAAAACAGTACTTAAACTAAATTAAACTAACTGGTTTTAGTAACTCCAGACACTGAAGAAAGACATGTACTTCTTAGAGATGTTAAAGATTCGTCAGCCTGTCTTGGAGCTGCGGGGCACAGACTGGACAACGCGGATCACCTCAGGCTCCTGCCCTCAGGCACCACAGACCTGCCTCAGACGCAGGTAAGCTAAGGCCTAGCATGAATACTTGTTTCCAAGACCCTTCCTCCTGACTTATTCCTTTGCAAAATGAGGTGATTGCACAGCAAGATCTTTTTTTTAAAAATTTTTTATTGTTATGTTAATCACCATATATTACATCATTTGTTTTGGTGTAGTGTTCCATGATTCATTGTTTGTGCATAACACCCAGTGCTCCATGCAGAATGTGCCCTCTTTAATACCCATCACCAGGCTAACCCATCCCCCTACCCTCCTCCCCTCTAGAAACCTCAGTTTGTTTTTCAGAGTCCATCATCTCTCCTGGTTCGTCTCCCCCTCTGACTTACTCCCCTTCATTCTTCCCCTCCTGCTATCTTCTTCTTTTTCTTTTTTCTTAAAATATGTTGCGTTATTTGTTTCAGAATTACAGATCTGTGGTTCAACAGTCTTACACAATTCACAGCGCTCACCGTAGCACATACCCTCCCCAGTGTCCATCACCCAGCCACCCCATCCCTCCCATCCCCCAACCACTCCAGCAACCCTCAGTTTGTTCCTGAGATTAAGAATTCCTCATATCAGTGAGGTCATATGATACATGTCTTTCTCTGATTGACTTATTTCACTCAGCATAACACCCTCCAGTTCCATCCATGTCGTTGCAAATGGCAAGATCTCATTCCTTTTGATGGCTGCATAATATTTCATGCACAGCAAGATCTTAACTTATGCTTCTTGTTCAAAGATTCTGTGCTTTCATGGTAGATAGCCTGCTCCAAGAGAGCTCTAATTCTGTCCCCAGTAAGTTTTTAGCTTTTCTGTCTTGGTCAGGCCACAGTTTAGATGATTCCCAGGGAGGCTGGAGACTCTGGGTTCATCATCAAACTTTGTAAAAGTGTGACCTGGGGCCAGTTACTTAACCTCTTCATGACTTGGTCTTCCCTTCTGTAAACTGGGGACAACAGTAACCCCGCCTGGCTTTGCACTGTTCCTTGGCTTGTAGGAAATCCGCAATAAATGTTAGCCGTTATTATTAAAACTATCATTCAAGGAAGATTATTAGCACCATAGAAAACCTGTGCTCATTGCTGCTCTAAAAGGTCCCTGCTATTCCAAAATAAAAAAAATGATCTGCTGTGTCGCAATCAGATTCACGGATCTTCACTGTGTCTTGTGGGACAAGCCAGCCTGATGGTGAAGCACTGGGCTCCAGGGGGTCCATGTCCCTGTCCAGTGTAAGACGCAAGCACCCCGGGGCCCCGTGGGTCTGCGAGCAGAAGGAATGAGGTGTCTCACCAGGTCATGGCTGTGAAGGTCACAGGAAACAGAAGCCACCAGTAATAGTCCCACTTCTCCGAGAACACGGCCATGAGCAGTCCCACCAGCATCCCGTTGTATCCATGGAGGCCGGAGGCGATGGCAGACCTGGGGGCGGGGGGGAGAAGGGACAGTTACTTTGCATCTGAATTTGGTGGTGCTTGTGGGGCCCCCTTGGTACTCCCAGAAACAAGTCAGCTTACTCCTGAATGTTGGGCCGTCACATAGCTGCCAGCACCTTCCCAGATTACCACCCCCTCAGCCCCGATTACCCTGCTGTTCTAGAATTAAGGCTTCTCACTGTGTCTGAGCTCTCCCCTCGGCTTCTCAGGGGTGGGTGTCTCTGCCTGCTAAGTATAGCGGGAGATCTAACAGAAACCTGAGTATGACACTGGGGAAGGGGTGTGTGTGTGTGTGTGTGTGTGTGTGTGTGTGTGTAGGAGACAGGGAGGCAGGGAGGAAGGGAAGGAGGAGGAGAGAGTGCATTCTGACTGCATGGTGTGAAGCTGTAATTGTCACCGAGGATGACAGTGCATCCCGGAGTGGATGAGCTGAGCCTGCTGGGGATGTGTACGTGCCTCTCCCCTCGGCAGGGCAGGGAGAGGCCCAGAGGTGGGGAGAATCCAAGTCTGAGTCTATCCTCTCTTCATTTCATCAGGGAAGTCTATGTGCACCTCAGCTTCTCTCCCGGATGCTAACAAACACTGCCCTTGACCCTGGCCATAGCTGTGCTGGCTGGGGGGACAGGGAGCAGTGTGAGGGAGGGACTGGGCCAATCCCTGCAAGACCCCTGCCTGAGCTTGAGCTTTGTGTGCTGTGCCCTGTCCCTGTCCTTGACTGGAAGTTGCCCAGGGGAGCTCAGGCTGGAGCTCATCCGTCCGACATCAGCGTAACAACAGACAACAGCGTCCGTCTGGTGCACAGAGGGTTCCAGGCCTTGCCTCGCTGTTGAATGCCTGTGTGGGAATGCCAGAGCTCTTCACCGGCTGACCGTTCGTGCCCAGCAAGGGCGTCTAGAAGCACGAGCGCCCTGAGACGGAGGCAGGGAGCTCTGGCTAGAGGAGGGCTCCTGCCTGGCAGAGACCATGGCTTAGGTCCGGAAGGGGGGGAGCTTCAGCTCTGGAGGGGCCGGGAGAGCCGCTCCGCTAGCGGCCGGGGGCAGCTGGAGGGTGGGAGGGGGAGGCTCTAGACGGTTGCCAACAAGAAAAGCTGAGCACATGGCCCTCGTGGGGGGACACTTGTATGGGACACGGGACAGTGGGTGAGCTGCTCCCGAGGCCACGAACATATGGGGCAGCTGGGGACAGGTGGGGGGGCCGGGAGGGAAGACCACTGGGGTTCAGAATGTCCTCGGGACTAGAATATCTGTCTGAAAAGCAGAAACCCATGTTTGGGAAAATACTTAACTTTTAGGGGTGACTGCGTTTTATCTACACTTTCCCATTTCTGTTCAGTGTTAGAATTTAGGATCTTTTTGGTTTTAATACCAGTTGCTTCAGGCAAACTGAGCAAAGACGGCTGGCCCCTCGCGGGGCCTAGCCGGTAGCCCCAGGGGCAGGGTGTAGGGGAATGGCAGGAATCACACCAGGGAGCCCAGGGGCGACAGGATTAGGGCCACAGCTGAGGGCTGCCCCCATTGTTGCCTCTCCCTGGCAACGTCCCCTCCCAGGACACTTTACCAAACCTTTGGTGGCTTCTGGGTTTGGGTGTCAAAATGAAACTCATTACCTTACATCCCACTCTGACCATCAGAAATACAAAGGTAGGTTTAACCCTAATGCCCAAAAGGTCTTCATGAGGACCACGTTCCATCAGGCCGCTGCGGCATTAGAGTCGATGACCTGGAGTTCCTCTCTGTGAAGTACAGTCTCTGGGCCAGTGCGGGTAGGGGAGCAGGGGTGAGGGGAGACACGAGGCTGACGGAGGAGGAGGCGGGCAGCGGGGCTAGTGGACCGGAAGTCTGGGTGGTCAGGGGAATGCGGGTAGGGGAGTCGGGGTGGTGGAGAGGGACGGTGGCGGTTAGGATTAGAATATGGAGCATTCAAAATGACTTCCCGTCCTGAACATGCTTAGAACATTGCCAGGGAGAGAAGCCTCAGAAAGCAATTAGAGAACCATCCCATAGAGTTACTGGGGTATGTTCTGGGGTTGTCCAGTGAGAAAGGAGGGTTCAGAGAGCACTGAGGTAAGCAGGGCCGGCTGCCTGTAAGCGGGGGGCGGATTTGAAAGGATGGTAGGGTTAGATAGGCAGAAGCAAAAGTGCTTAGTTGGGAAGAGTGGGATGCTGGGTGGGACATATGGTGCGGCCCATCAGAGACGGCTTCGGAAGCCAAACTGGCATAGACTCGTCTCAGTGCGGATGTCTGGGAGGATTAGGCAGGCGCGCTTGGTGTCTCCCCTCTAACACCGAGGTCCATGAAGCAGCTCTGTGAATGGCCTGGCAAGTCTACCAGTAGGTTATGGTTGGGAAGAAAGTCGGAGAAGCAGACTGTCAGCGCAGGAAGGGACTCTGGCTCCTCGAAGGCGAGCTAGTAAGTTGTCGCTCTCACAGATGAGGACAATGGGGCCAGGAGGGGAAGCACTGGCCCAAGGTCACAGAGCTAAAGAGGCAGTGGGCTGGACAGAGTTCGGGTGAGTTTTACCAAACAGTGATGAAGCAGTGAGACCAGAGGCAATCCCGTCAGGGGCCCAATTCTAAGCCAGCTGGCCCCTGAGATGGTAAGGAGGAAGAGGGACCCTACTGGTTGAAAGAGAGACACAAAATCCTGGCTGGAGCCTCCTTTTTATGTCACACGCAGACCTGCACCCCAGAGAATTCAGCCTCCCATTCATCCAATTTGGAATGGCCTCCTGGGGTCCCCCAGGGCCACCTGAGAGATGCATGAATGGCTTCTCAGGGGACACAAGTCGACTCACAAATTTGCCCTGGTGGCATCTGGAATGTCAGGTGCACCCGGAGGCAATGTGGTGTTGGTTACAACAGTCAACCCTGATTACTCCCCATTCTCTGGGTTCACCTGGGAGCCTCTGGCCTTGCTGTCCATGCGGTCTATGTGCCAAGGAGAGCACTCACCTCAGCCTAGAAGATGTGGGCCATGTGTCACACCCCGAGACCGGCCATCCACTGATTACGGTACCTCCCTGTCTCCTTTCTCTTACTTGTGAAGTGTGGACGCTCTAACCATCACTATCTGCCTTGTGAAGTGGCCGTGAGAATCATGATAGTGCATGATAGTGCTTTCCAATCTTTTTGCAGTAACCCACGGCAAGGAGGGAATATACTTGGTAGCATGACCTGGTTCTCTCTCTCTGTCCCCCTATACATCTCCCCCGCATATACAACACATCCCAACATTAATGAAACAAAAATTTCGCAAAAATATTTACTACCTATGAATGACCCTAATCTGTTTTATTCTATTATTTTACTTTTTAAAAATGCTGTTGACATTTAATTCATGATCCACAAATGGATGGGTGACCCCCAAATTGAAAGACACTTAAAATATGTGCATTCCTAAACTTCTCTGATCATCAGAAGCACCCAGACGGGTCTTGTTAAAACACTCCTTCCCAGACCCATTGAATGGGACTATCTGAGGGAACAGAAGTGGTTGGGCTGAAGAAGACACATTTCTTAACAGTCAGCCCAGATGATTCTAGCCATCAGCAAAGTCTGGGAACACTGGGACAGTGTGGGGCAAAGTTTGAGGAGATGGTCCGGTTACAGAAAACGCTGCTTATTATTGTTCCTGGACTTTGTGGCCACCAGTGTGGGGGTGGGGTGGGGGTACTGCCTCCTGCCTCCACTCTGCCCTCCCTCTTCTCCCTCCCTTCTCTCTCCCAGGTCCCATGTTTCCAGCTCAAACCCTGCCCTCTCTCATCTCCCCCAACACTTAGAGACGTCTGTCTTTTCTTTTTTTTTTTTTTTTTTTTAAGATTTTATTTATTTGACAGAGAGACACACAGCGAGAGAGGGAACACAAGCAGGGGGAGTGGGAGAGGGAGAGGCAGGCTTCCCGCGGAGCAGGGAGCCCGACGCGGGACTCGATCCCAGGACCCCGGGATCACGACCTGAGCCGAAGGCAGACGCTTAACGACTGAGCTGCCCAGGCGCCCCAGAGACATCTGTCTTTTCTGAGCTCTCCAGCATATACTGTTTCTTATTATTCTGAGACATTTCTTGCCTCAAATAGACTGTAGGCTCTGTGAGGGAAGAGCCACTTAAGTGTTCCTTTGCACCTGCCTCCCAGGGAGTGTTTCCAGAAGGATCTACAGTCAAAAGGAGCCTAGTGCTGTCACTTGCTGTGAGCACAGGAGTAGTTTAATTCTGTTTAATTCTGTAGAGACCTCCAGTGACGGGTTCAAAGTTGATTTTCAGGAGACTTTGGGCTGCCCGGTAGGATAATGTTGGCCGATCAGTCTCGTAAACACTTCTCGACCTGTCCACCTCAAGATCCCGCGACCAACCACAGACAGGGACCTACCTGTCCTGGTTCAAGGCGAGGGCGGTTAAGGTTGAGATCACTGTCCCTAGACCCCCGGTAATCGTCCACCAGGGATTCTGGATCAGGAGTCCAATGAAGATGATGAGTCCGCTGAGAGGGTTGTTGACAAACATCACCTGAGCAGCCCCCCTCAGGACCCAGTCCGAGAACTGGAGGGCCAAGGGCTTATCTGAAAGAGACAGAGCCGTGAGCAGGGGTCAGCTTGGGCCTCCCTGCTGGACCACTGGCTGGCGTGGCAACCAAGGCAAACAGAGATGCAGGGGCCAGGACATTTCCTCTCATTTGGCCTGGCACCCTGCCCAAGTCTCTGAGTGCCTAGGCAATCAGTCCACAGTGGGTGTTAGCTTTTGCCATACAGACTGAGGCACCGTGCTGAGACCAATTTAACACCGTTCCAGCCATCAGCTTGGTTGGCAAGGAAGCCTCGGGAGCGTTCCAAGGGGAATTTATTGGTCCAAGGGAAGGCGTGAGGAGGGAAGGAAACTCTCTTTTTGTGTTGTGCCGTAAGGCTCAGTTGAGAGCTGGTATCTGAGCAGCAAAGAAAGGAGTCTGGAGAAAAGGAGCTGAAACAGAAGTGGTTTCAGCCCAGCAGTGCAATCGTATTGAGTTAGGACCTGGGGGAAGCCAGGCCTAGAAGAGGGGACATATATTCTGCCTCGCTCTCTGGTTCGGTTTCTAGGACAGCCTCTATAGATGTGGGTGATGAGGATAGGGGTGTTTGTTGCAGTATTTAGTTGAGGGAAACTAGGAGAAGAAAGCCATTGAAAGGAGAGAAAGAATGTTGGAATATGGGGGAGGGCGATGTCAGTATTTTCTCGGCACGTAGTAAATGGCTGTGGAACAAGGGAAGGAAAGATCACTGGGGAATGGCTTATATGTTGCTAAAGTGGTTGTCCTCTATCTATTCCATGTAGGGGTGAAGAATTTGCAAAGAACTAAAATCAGTAAAGTGCATTTCGTTCTGAACCCCTGGGAATCCCAAGTTAGTGGGGTACCTTAGACCCACCCACGGCCAACTCAGGGCGAGAGCACTCCACCTGGGGGTCCTCTCAATGGGTGAACGAGGAAGCAGCTTCCTCCACCCAGGCCAGAGCGGCGGGGGGTGGGGGGCTGCTTCTTCCCTGGGCATTTGCTTACCTTTCAGCCAGCCCCTGCACTCTTTCATCTCCCCTGTGAGGTAGCCCACTGCTTGGAAGAGGCTGATGCCCCCCAAGCCTGCAGAGCTCCGATGCGCTGCCCCACTTTCTCTCCTTTTAGTCCTTTCGCTGGGTTTTTCCATTTTCACAATATGGCTGTCTTCATTGGATGAACGGAGATCCTTTTAAGAGAAACCGTGACAAACTCTCAGATAATACGTCTTTTTGAGAGCAGGGGCACTTGGGGATAGGGAAGCTTGTTGGCTGTTCTGACAAAGGTAAATGATCATAAGACCCCTGTCCACTCTCTACTGCTGTCCAGGGTGCCACATGCAGGCCAGTCTTCCAGGACGACTACACACTCCTCACAGCAGGGTTCCGGAAACTTCTGTGCTCTGGATCCCTTCTGTCAGCTTACAAGGCCATGGGCTTCTTTCCAGAAGTGATGTTTGGAAGTGAATAAAATAAACAGGATTGCAAAGAAAACCAGTTATATTTAAAAATAAAAAAGCCTGTGATAGACATACAGGTGTGGCCAATCCAATACCTATTATAATTTCAAAGTAACAAGGAGTGAGTATGTGGGGCCTCCTCACGCCAACTCAGGACAACTTTATATGGCCACCTGAGATCCAGAGCTCACTATAGGGTCGCCTGGGGCCCTTACTGCCCGATTTCTCCTTCTGCCTAATCCTGCTGCCTTTCCTCCTCTACAGGTATTGACCCCAAAGGCACACCCCAGTAAACTTCTTACATGCAAATCTCCATCCCAAAGTCACCCTTCTGGGGGAACCCGACCTGTGACAAGGGCAACAATCCCAGTGCGGATAGGGCTGTTGTTCGTTACCTATGTTTATAATCAAAGAAGTGCTACAGTTCATTGGAAGTTGGTGAAATAAAGGTGAATCACTTTCCCCATCCAAGTTCACACCTCCTCAAGCCTACCTGTGGGCCCCTTGGTCAGGACTGCTTGTTCTAAAACTACACTGTTCACTCTCGTAGCCAACAGGACACGAGGCTGTTGAGCACTTAAAATGTGGTCAATTCGAATTGAGATAGGTTCCAAGTGGATTTTGAAGACTTAGTATGAGAAAAGAATGTGTAAAATATCTCAGTGATACTTTACACTGGTCAAATAATGAAATAACAGCATTATATATATTCATATATATTAGGTTAAATAAAATATAGTATTAAAACTAATTTTACCTTCCTTTTACTGTTAAAAATATGGTTAATAGACATTTAAACATATATGTGTGGCTCACATTATATTTCTATTGTACACTGATGGTCTGTAGATTTCTCTAACCTCCTCCGTACATCAAAACTTCAATGTCTTGAGGATATCACTGCAAGTGGTAGAGTAAGGACCTCCACAAATTCTTTCATAAAGGCAATATACATTCTTTTCTATTGCACATGGAACATTCTTAGTATAGACCATGTTAGGCCATAAGAGAAGTAAAACATTTTTTTTTTTTTTGCCCTAAGTAAAACATTTTTACTGATATAAAAGTATCAGTAAGTTTAAAGGCATTAAAATCATACAAAGGATGTTCTTTCTCTCTCTTTTTTTGAAGATTTCATTCATTTGAGAGAGAGTGAGAAAGCCCAAGCAGCGGGACCAGCAGAGGGAGAGGGAGAAGCAGGTTGCCCGCTGAGCAGGGAGCCTGACTCGGTCTCCATCCCACAACCCTGGGATCATGACCTGAGCCGAAGGCAGATGCTTAAGCAACTGAGCCACCCAGGCACCCCTGTTCTCTCTTTTTAAAAAGATTTTACTTTTAAGTAATCTCTACACCCAACGTGGGGCTTGAACCCACAACCCCAAGATCAAGAGTTGTATACTCTTCCAACTGAGCCAGCCAGGTGCCCCCAAAGTATGTTCTCTGACCATGATGGTGTGAATTTAGAAATCAAAAGCAAAAGGAAATTTGGGAAATAATGTGGCAATTAAACAACATGCTCCTAAATAATCAATGGATCAAAGAGGAAATCAGAAGAGAAATTAGAAAACTACTTTGAGATGAACGAAAACAAAACGCAACTTATCAAAACCTATGGGATGCAGCTAAATCAGTGTTCGAGGGAAATTGTAGGTATAAAGACCTATGTGAAAAAAAGAAATATTCTGTATCAACAACCTAACCTTTCACTTTAAGATACTAGAAAAATAACAGCGAACCAAACACAAAGCAAGTAGAAGGAAGGAAATAATAAACACTATCATGAAAATAAATGAAATAGGGAAGAAAAAATATAGAAAAACCATCCATGAAACTAAAAGATCTTTGCAAGGATCAAAATTGACTAACCTTTAGCTAGACTGACCAAGTTAAAGAGAGAAGATTGAAATTACCAGAATCAGAAATGAGAGAGGAGACATTACTACCAACCTTCAAGAACTAAAAAGGGTTATGAGGAAATGGATTCTAAAGAAATGGATAATGGTATGCTAACAAATCAGATAACCTAGATGAACTGAATACATTTTTAGATAGGCACAAGCTATCAAACTGACTCAAGAAGAAACAGAAAATCTGAAGGAACTTATAACAAAGTAAATGATTGAATTAGTAGAACAAAAACAAAAACAACAAACAAAACACTTCCCACAAAGAAAAACCCAAGTTCAGGGGCGCCTGGGTGGCTCAGTCATTAAGTGTCTGCCTTTGGCTCAGGTCATGATCCCAGGGTCCTGGGATCAAGCCCTGCACTGGGCTCCCTGCTCTGCGGGAAGCCTGCTTCTCCCTCTCCCACTCCCCCTGCTTGTGTTCCCTCTCTCGCTGTATCTCTTTCTGTCAAATGAATAAAAAATAAAAAAATAAAAAAAAAAAACCTTTATAAAAAAAAAAAGAAAAACCCAAGTTCAGATGGCTTCACTTGTACATCTGCCAAATACTTAAAGGATTAATAACAGTACTTCTCAAAAACTAGAAAAGGCAACACTTCCTAGCACATTCTATGAGGCTAGTATTACCCTAACACCAAAGCCAGACAAAGACATCACAAGAAAGAAAACTACAGGTCAATCTGCTTTGTAAATATAGATGCAAAAATCCTTGACAAAATACCACCAAGCCAGGTTCAGTAACATATAAAAATAATTATGGCCAAGTGGGATTTATTCTCAGAATTCAAGACTGTTTCAACATATAAAAATCAATCAATAATTATTAACAGAGTGAAAGAAAAAACCCACATGATTATCTCAATAGACACAGAAAAACCACTTGAAAAATTCAGCAACCTTTCCTGATAAAAACATTTAGCAAACTAGGAATAGAAAGGAAATTCCTCAACTTTAATAAAGGGTATCTACTAAAAACCCACAGCTAATATTATATGTGTTATATGTAAAGATGGGACGCTTTCCCTTTAAGATCAGGAATGAGACAAGGGTGTTGGTTCTCTGGTCACTTCTATTCAACACTGAAGTACAAGTTCTAGCCAGAGCAATTAGGTAAGAAAAAAACAAACAAAAGGGACCCAGATTGGAAAGAAATAATGTAAACTATCTCCATTTGCAGATGGCACATTCTGTTATATGGCATCTTCTTAAAAAATCTATTTAAAAAATTCCAAAAAACTATTAAAGTTAATGGACAAGTTCAGCAAGTTTGCTGGATAGAAGATCAATATACAAAAATCAATTTTAGTTTTATACGTGGGCAATGAACAATCCAAAAATATAATGAAGAAAACGATTCTATGATAGCCTGAAAAAGAATAAAATATTTTGGAATAAATTTAACAAAAGGACACTGTATACTAAACTAAAGGTTTTGTACAAGTTTTTTATACTAAAAACTACAAAACATCAAAAGGAATTAAAGACTTAAATAAATGGAAATACATCCTATGTCCATGGATTGGAAGACTTGTTAAAATGTCAATACTCCTCAGGTTGATCTATAGATTTAATACAATCCTTATCAAAATCCCAGTTGCTTTTTTTTTTCCTGCAGAAATTGAAAGTCAGATCCTAAAATTAATACAGAAATTCAAGGGTCTCAGAATAGATGAAACAGTCTTGAAAAGGAAAAACAAAGTTGGAAGACTCACTCTTGATTTCAAAAACTTACTACAAAGCTACAGTAATCAAGATGGTGTGGTACTGGCATAAGGACAGACATACAAATCAGTTAAAGTTGAGAGCCCAGAAATAAACCCACACACAATGGTCAATTGATTTTTGATGGCAGTGTCAAAACAGTTCAATGGAGAATGAATAGCTTTTTCAATATGGTGCTGGGACAACTGGATATCTACTTGTAAAAGACTGAAGTTAGACCCCTACTTGACACCATATACAAAAGTTAACTCAAAATGGATGAAAGACTTACACGTGAGTGCTAAAATATAAAACTGTTAGATAAAACATAAGACTAAATCTTTGTGACCTTGGATAAGAAAATGGTTTCTTAGATATGACACTAAATGCGTAAGCAATCGAAGTCAATAACAGATAAATCAGACTTAGAATCACAAACTGTGCTTTTAAGGACACTATCAAGACTGTGAAAAGACTTACAGAGTGGGAGAAATTATTTGTGAATCATATAATTGGCAAGGGTCTAATATCCAGAATATATAAAGAACCGTTACAAGTCCACAATAAAAAGACAAATAACCCAATTGAAAAAAATGGGCAAAGGACTTCAAAAGACATTTTTCCGAAGAAGATATACAACTGGCCAGTAAGCACATGCAAAGATGCTCAACATCAATTTGACATTAGGGAAATACTAATCAAAATCACAGTGAGATGTCAGTTCACATCCACCCATGCTATTAATAAAAAGACAGTAACAAGTTTTGACAAGGAGGCCGAGGGGCATGACGTGTACATCACTCGTGAGAACGCACAGTGACGCGGCGACTTTGGAAAACAGTTTGGCAGTGCCTGAAAATGTTAAACATAGAGTCACCATATGACCCAGGAATTCCACTTCTGGATATATACCCAAGAAAAAGAAAAACATGTATCTGCACAATACTTTCTACACAAATGCTCATAGTAGCATTTTTTGTAACAGGCAAAAAGTGGAAACACCCAAATGTCTATCAACTGATGAACGGGTAAATAAACTATGGTATACTCATACCATGAAATGTTGTTTGGCCATAAAAAGTAATGATGTACTGATTCATGCTACAACAAGGATGCACCTGAAAACATTATGCTAAATGACAGAAGCACTTCACGGAAGCCCATATATTATATGATTCCATTGACATGAAATGGACAGAATAGGCAAATCCACAGGGACAGAAAGTAGACGGGCGGGTGCCAGGTGTGGGGGAGGGGGGAATGCGGAGGGACTGCTGATGAGTATTTTGCGTTTCTTTTCGAGGTGATGAAAATATTCTGGAATTCACTGGTGGTGATGTTGGCGACCTTTGTAATCATGCTAAAAACCAGTGAAATGTACATTTTAAAGGGGTGAATTTTATGGTCTATAAATTATATCTCATTAAAAAAACAACAACTTTAGTGGTCCTGGGTCCCTCTCCACTGTATCAGTTCAGGGAGCGTTAAAAGCTAAACTTTGAACACTGGCCTCACTTTGGGAGACGATGATAAAGTAAGTCAAGGGAGCAGGTCTAAAGGGAAGGATTTGGGGGACTGGTTGGAAGACTGGTGTGTGAGTGTGTGCATTCCCTACTTGTCTTTAAAATCGTGCTGCACACAGAACCACATTTTCCATCGTAGGCCAAATAGGACCGACCAGGGGTGTGACCCTGTGCTGACCGGGGGCAGAACGTCCCCGGGCAGTGGCCCCTTCAGGCCACTGTGCAACGCGTGCCCTGGGAAGCTGGGAAGGCAGGGTCTTTCATCCCCCTTCCCCCCCACCCACTACCTGGGAGACGTGCTGGGAGGGACACTCCTCACCTTCTCTTCGGGCATCTCCAGGAGGGGCAGGGCCAGGTGTGTCTCCTGGGGGCTGGAGGGCCAGCTCGGGTTGGTGAACTCTGACTCATAGAGTTTGTGTCTGCCGGAAAGAGGCTCGGCCAGGAGAGGGCTGCTGGGAGGGTCAGACATTTTCCTCAGTCAGAGGTCCTGCGACTGGAGAGGAAAGGGGGACAATGGTGAGTCAGGATGGGGCCCAGAGGGATGTGGCTGAGGCTGGATGGAGGCCTCCAGAGGCACAGGACCAATCGTTGCTGCCAGGGAGGCCTGGGGCCATTCCCCCACCTCTGCGGCCTTACATTTCAAAACCCCCCCATTCTTCCGCGTCTGCTGTGAAGAGCTCCCTGACCACCCAGTTGCAATAGATGCCTCTTTTTTTCTTCTGGTCACGGAAATAGATTTTCTCTACCTTTTACATTATCCATTGTGCTATCTTACTGTAGTCGTTGCAAATATACTTTCTCTTTGACAACCACACATAGGCCTGAGTCTTCTAACGGAGTGGGGATCTAAGAGAAACTCATTTTCTTACTTGCTCTGGAGCTTATATTGATTGTGGGCTACCTCCGGTCCTCCCCCTCTCCTCCCTCTGCCCTCCGTGCCCTTTCCAGCACTTTCCCCCTCTTCCTTCCCCATGAACAGTACTGAAGAAGCAGCTCTGGTATAATCCACTAGAAGCTGTGCGTGCCAGGCTGGAGGTCCCTCCGTGTGGGGCTCCCTTTCCCTTCGCTACCCGGACTGGGGTTTATGCCATGACTAGCCTGTGGAGCAACCTCTGCCCGCGGTCCTCAGTTTCCTGGTTCACTATTGGCTGCCGCCTGGGAGAGCCTACTTCTTCCTATTCGGCCACCGTAGCCGTTCTCTTCTTCGGCCTCCTCCGGCTCAGGGACGTCTTCATTTATTTACCGTTTCTTTGATAGGTGGTTTGGATCTGCATGGTCCCCTCTCAGTATGACCTGGAGTTTCCCCTATTGTTCCACGCGGCCTCCCCCGAGTTGCAAGACAGCATATCTTAGGACAGTGTTTGCAGATCCCTAGCATGGGTGCTAGCCTTCCTCACACTTACCTCTGCAGACGCTGCTAACGGACTGCAGGGTTCTCTTCCAAAGCGGAGGAAGTCCCCTTCCTGTGCTTGCATTAGTGCCCCTTCCCAGGGCTATTTCCTACTCCTGTGACAGGAATTCCTGTTCTTCACCGTTGCTTCCAGACCCCTGCTCACCTTGCTGGTGCAGAAAGCCCTCTTCTTTGAGGCTTATACCTATTCCCTCACTGCTCACTGCTGTGTTACCGACTTCCTGGTCGTTCACTTGTTCAGTGAAGACTTTAGGGGCTCCTATGAGTCATCTTCATCTCCACTCCAATAATTTTCAGCAACTTCAATGGTCTGGACTTTGACACTGACCTCACTGACATTAACTCATCACTTCATTCTCTGACTTCGCAGACCCCTGTCCTGTCTTCCTCATTTCCAGGGACCTTCTCCACCTCTTCTTTTCAGCCTCTGATTCCCATGGTCACCGCATGGACTTGATACCACACAAACTATCAAGTCTCAAAGGTCTGGTTCTCTCCTCTGGACTCCCAGCTCACCTGCTCAAGTGCGCCCCCCGGCCCAGCGCTTTCACTTGCAGGAGACCTCCAGTCCCTCAGCTCCACCCACTCCGTACCCTCCCTTGCCTCCTCGACCAACTTAGACTTCACAGCCCATCATTTCACTTCTCTCAACACCCTTGCTCTGCTCTCCCCGCTCCCTCTCTCACGCCTGTGTGGTGAAATCCTGGCCGGGCTAAACCCAACCCTCCGTCTCATCCAGGCTTTCATCAAGCAACTGAACACTGTGTGAGAAACACTGCCTAGCTGGGTAGGCTGCCATCACGTAAGGTTTATGCTTGCCATCCTCTTGGGTGGACTCTTGGCACTTCCCTTTCTGTCTCTGGCCAGCCCAGACTGGTTTTGCCGCAGCTGCCCTTGCCGTAAGACCTCCATGTTGGCGAATCCAAAACATCGTGTGGTCTTCATCTCATTAGACTGCTCAGGGTGTCCACACAGCTGACCATCCCTCCTTGACACACTTTCCTCTTTTTGGCATTTCCATCGATCCTCTCTCTGGCTGTTCCTTCACACTGTCCTTGGCTGGCTCCTCCTGGAAATATGAGCATTCTGTTGAGCTCTGTTCTGGACCATTTTCTCTTCACTGGTACTCCTACCCAGCTGACATCAGCTCTCGCCATGGCTTTATCCTCCATCTGTATACCTACGACTCCCAAATTGAATATTTCCAACCCAGTTTTGAGCACTGGATTCACAGATTTAATTGTCTACTTTACACTTGCATGTGGATGTTCCAGAAATAGCATAAAGTTAAGGCACGGAAACAGCTCCTAATGCTTCCTTCTCAGATCCTGTCCTCCCTGAAAGGTGCCCGTCCCAGGACAAGTCTTCTCTCCATTCCAAGCTACTCCTTATAATACCTCTTCCTCCCTCCCCCAATCCAGTGATTCTACCTCTAAAATACACCTGGATGCTCACTGTCCCCATTTAGCTGCCATCACATCCTACCTCTGCTCCAATAACTCCCAACTGGACACCCCACTTCTCAGATTTCTCCTCCATGCCATACTCCCCAGGGTCATCAGTGCCGTCCTATCATTACTCCATGCCACTCATGTCTGTTCCTGCCTCAGTCCCTTCAACGGCTGCCAATGGAAAAATAGGTCTTAAGCATGTACACAAGGCTCTGTACCACTATGTTCCTGTCATGCGTTAGCCCATCCTGGGTTTCTCCTGCGCCTCGTCTCTGAGCTCCACACTTGCCTCCTTCCAGTGCCTAGGTGCTGAGCACTTTCTACTTCAGGGCCTCTGCAAATGCTGGTCCGTCTGCCCAGAAGGACTCTCCCTTGCTCTTCACCTGGGACCGTCTTCCCTCAGGCACGGTCTCCATTACTACTCGTTAGAGACGCCTGCCTGGATCGGCTCCCGATCACGTTCTCCTTGCATACTCTCAAGGCACCCGGTATCTTTCCTTATAGCCTTTTTTGCACCATGCAATGATTGATTTATTTGTATAGGGTCTCTCTCCCCACCAGAACGTAAGATGCATGAGGATAGTGACCTTCTCGGTTCGGTTTACTACTGTATCCTTAGCTCCTAGCATAGGGCCTGGCACATAGCAGATGTTCAATAAATAAGTAGATGTTCAATAAATAAGTAGTTAAGCGAGGGAAGGGAGGAAGGAAGAAGAGAAGGCTACAGGTAATTGCTAGAGTGGAAAAACCTCCTTGCAGAACTTTATGAATCACTGTGGGTTTCCTGAGTCTTGAATGGTTTAAGAAGGGCATGGGGCCGCCCACCAGTCCTGCTTGCATTTTTTGGGGCAGAACTGCCGTGTCCAACACCTGTCCTCATCCCAAGGAGTTGCTCATTTAAACCATCGCTGATTTTTAGTGTGAGTTTGCAAACATCATTCAGATCCAACTCCTCTTTCTCACTGCCGTTGCTGGAAGAGGGACCTCTCCTCTCTTTTGACCCCACAGGTGGAGTTTCAGACTGCCCCGGAGGGGGCATGCCAGAAAGGTTTAGGAGAGGGAAAACTAGCAAGCCTGAGAACCAATGCGCTCTCTCCCTCTGGTGGCCAAGAGGTGATACAGCATGCTGGTGTCTGTTTCCAGATTGCTTCCAAGCCATCCTGATGAAAAGTGAGGGGAAATCAGATACCTAGACACATGATGTGTGTGACACCAGACATCTGGATGAACAGGAATGTTCTGGAAAGATCTTGTGTTAAATTCAGTGGCTGTGAATTTCCTTTAAAAGTCCAGCTGAAAAGTAAACTTCCCCCCCAAATGTATTTCATTAAATCTAAGATGTTATCATCTGTAAGATGATCATTGTTTGGTGTACCATGAAGAAGAAAATGCTGCCAATCAAAATGGTAAGATGCAGATTGACTTGAGAAATGTTAAAATCTGAGAACAATGTATAACATATAGTCAAGGAAACATTTTTTAGTGATGGGGCTCAAGTATACAGGAGTTGGAAATGGGTATATTCAGGATTATTTTCTAGACATGAGACCTCACACATACATATATATTTTTTTGATGCAAAAAGAGCTTATACATGATGAGTCCTTTAAGAACAGGGGCTTATCTTGCTAATTTCTGTATTTGCATTGCCCAGCAGAGAACGTGACCCATAATAAGCCCTCAGTATGTGTTTAATGATTATGGAAAGAATGAATGATTGTACAAGGGACATACTCTCCAGAGACATCGCCAAAAAGACACTTTCTTCTCTACCTCTGAGTCTCTCTTGTATGCAGACAACATTTTACAATTACAGATGGAGAAATTAATGCCCAGGAAAGCAAAACGAGAATTATTTCTCACACGGGTTTAACTCTCGGCACTTTCCAAAGCAAGCTTGTCGCTTTGCAATGGCAACGGGAAGCAGAGACCCAGGGAAAGCAGTGACTTGCTGCAAAGTCAAGATTAGACCTGGCTCCCCATCCTTCTGTTCCACCAACTGCCTTGTAGGGCACGGCTGGGGGCTGCAGGGGAGGGGTGGCTGCCCTGGAGCCTGGGTTCCGGCCCTCAGCCCAGTTCTATTTCATAAGCATACATAGCCTCGGCAGGAACAACGTGATTGCCTCTCCTCTGGGGAACACAGCGTTCCTTTGCCATGGGAATGTTTATCCTGTTCAACTGGGGGAATTTTGGCTTTGGGATAGGACTGAGACGTGCAGCAGGAACGGCCTTGTAGAGAGAAGGTCGCTGTGTCTGGAAAGAGCACAGGCTGCAGAAGCTGTGATGCCCAGCTTCCCTCTCTCTCTGCAGCCAGGGGCTCCATGGGCCTCTGTTTCTACCTCTTCAAAGGGCAACAGGGGACTCTTGGGGCAGTGAAATTGCTGACTTGGTTCTTGGCACGTAGTGGGTGCTCCGTGATTTCTAGTTGCCTTTCTTCTTGTGCTCCCACATTGAAGGAAAGATGGCTAGAGCAGCCAGATGAAGTACAAGCTGGCTGTCCTGAAACAGAACGCCTTTCAGAAGTTTCCATAAGGCGTTGGCCACTTGTTAAAACTGGACGGCGAAATCCTTGCCTGAGCCACGTCCCGTCTGAAGGCGGCAGGCCTCAGA